GATTTTTTTTTTTTTTGAGTGAAACTCATTGACCCAAGCATCCTCATTTATTTGCTAAACATTTGGTCAACACATCTTTTCTGTTAGGTATATCACATCTTAAGTAATTGATTACCACACTACACGGTAATTTGGAAACATAATTATCGATCTACGATTATTTTGAACTTATTTAACAAGTTACGATAATTCTTAAAAGTGGGTCAACAAATATGATGAGCCCAGATTTAGATCAGACCTAGCTCATGGCCTCAGCTCAAAAGTCTAAGAAGAGTCAATGCACGTGGGAGAATAATCATCGGGATAGCTATTATCCGAAGATAGCACATATCTTTAATTGTCACTATCCTCTCCGAAAAGCTAGCAGTATGATCTTCATGTCACTGCCTCAATTAAGGTTCTGTGCCTATAAATTGTAAGTTATCTGCACATGATGGGCATCTCAAAGACAACTATCTCTCACATAGACATCTCCTTTTATCTCACACACCACCTTGAGCATACTATTGTTCTCTCTCCTACTAACTTGTATTCTCTCATTAATAGAGTTTTTCGATTACTGTTGTCGCTTTAAGTTGTTAAGTCTCTAGACCAATCACCCAATTTTTGTCTTTTATTATTAATTATTTCATTAATTGCTTCACAATACACATTCGCCTGATTGATTGTGTATAAATTTATTTTTGTACATTATCAAAATCCATTTTTAACAATAAAAACGAGATCAACAATCATGTTTTTGACCATCTAAAACTAAAAAGCGTAATTGATGAAAACGCTTTCTCTTCACACACACTGCCTGCACGGCACACCACCTTTGAATATCTCTCACACTCACACGCAATGATATTACTTGTCATTTTATTCCATTATCTCATTTATATTGTGGCAAAACTATCACTTGATAAAAATAGAGATTGTAAAAATAATAAATGGAATAAAATAATAACTTGAAATGACTAATAAAATAATAACATTAAATAAAGTATTGGTTATACTAGTGAGACTTGCAAGAAAAGGAGAGCAACGTAAAAAATAAACTTAAAAATCTGACCCGAACATTTAATAAATTTTATTTTTATAATTAATATCTTAATTCGTGAAAAATATTATCCAATAACCCAAATTCAATCTTGAATATGTTATATTAGATGATACAATACTATTTTTGTTTGATCAAGCTAAATTAGAAATCTTTTGTAATTTTTTAAAATTTAACTTAATCGAGTTATTTGCATAGTGTAGAATTTATAAATCATAAAAATTAAATTCGTTAAATATTGAACAATTAACAAACTTGATTAAATAATTTTATTAGAACATAATTTGAAACTTAATGTATTGTGGTTATTAGATTAATAGTGAATTGTATTTAATGATCTAACCCACTAACAATCTTATTTACCAAACTACGGTACTTTAAACATATTTATCAAATTATAACACTTTTTAAAACGTAGGGTGAAGAACTTCGTGTTTTAATAAAAGCGTAATCAACAAGTGGAGCCTTTTTCGCCATCTTTTTTTCTCTCTCTTTTTNTTCGTGTTTTAATAAAAGCGTAATCAACAAGTGGAGCCTTTTTCGCCATCTTTTTTTCTCTCTCTTTTTTTTTTGTGATACGAAACTATAATTTTATTTCAATAACTATTTCAACCTCTCATTTGTATTACNTTTTTTTTTTTTTTAGTGAAACTCATTGAGCCAAGCATCCTCATTTATTTGTTAAACATTTGGTTTACACATCTTTTCTGTTTAGGTATATCACATCTTAAGTAATCGATTACCACACGACACGGTAGTTTATAAACATAATTATCGATCTACGATTATTTTGAACTTATTTAACAAGTTATGATAATTTTTAAAAGTGGGTCAACAAATATGACGAGCCCAGATTTAGATCAGACTTAGCTCATGGCCTCAGCTCAAGAATCTAAGAAGAGTCAATGAACGTGGGAGAGTAATCATCGGGATAATTATTACTCGAAAAGCTAGTAGCATGATCTTCATGTCACCGCCTCAATTAGAATTTTGTGCGTATAAATTATAAGTTATTTGCACATGATGGGCATCTCAGAGACAACTATCTCTCACATAGACATCTCTTTTTATCTCACACACCACCTTGAGCATACTATTGTTTTCTCTCCTACTAACTTGTATTCTCTCATTAAGAGAGTTCTTAGACTACCGTTGTCGCTTTAAATAGTTAAGTCTCTAAACCAATCACCCAATTTTTGTCTTTTATTATTAATTGTTTCATTAATTACTTCACAATACACATTCGCCTAATTGATTGTGTATATANAATCACCCAATTTTTGTCTTTTATTATTAATTGTTTCATTAATTACTTCACAATACACATTCGCCTAATTGATTGTGTATATATTTATTTTTGTACATTATCAAAATCCATTTTTAACAATAAAAACGAGATCAACAATCATGTTTTTGACCATCTAAAACTAAAAAGTGTAATAGATAAAAACGCTCTCTCTTCACACACACTACCTGCACGGTACACCTCCTTTGAATCTCTCACACTCACACGCAATGATATTTCTTGTGATTTTATTCCATTATCTCATTTATATTGTGGCAAAACTATCACTTGATAAAAATAGAGATTGTATAAATAATAAATGGAATAAAATAATAACTTGAAATGACTAATAAAATAATAACATTAAATAAAGTATTGGTTATACTAGTGAGACTTGCAATAAAAGGAGAGCAACTTAAAAAATAAACTTAAAAATCTGAACCGAACATTTAATAAATTTTATTTTTATAATTAATATCTTAATTCGTGAAAAATGATGGGTTAAGCCCAAATAGTCCAATTTATGTGTTAAACCCCAACCCCGGTTGAGGAGCCCAACCTCATTGTGAATCCACCAAGTCCAAGACAGCCCAAGGCCGGCTAGACTTCTTGCTTAGCACGTCACCAAGANCATACTACTACACTAAACTACATATGTACCCCAGAATTGGGTGGGTCGAATTCGAGGTTGAGGTTTGGGGTCGGATCCTGGTCCAATGATGTGTATGTTTTGGTGTACTAATGTGAGTGGTGCATTTTTTTGTGTATTAATATATACGTGTGTATTTTTTGGTATATTAGTGTGTATTTTGATATATTAGTGTGTATTTGATTTTATTACTTTTGTTATTTATTCGAAAGATAAATACTCAACTCAATGGACATCCATTTATAATTTATCTTAACCACCCGCTTAATTAATATAAGTATCCAATCCAACACATTAATTTATAGACGAATTGGATGGGTTAATGGTTAATGGGTTAAAATTGACACTTCTAACTACAATAATTGTGAAATAATGTAAAGGTTTTGGTGTTTTAAACAACCAAAACGTCTTGATATTATCTGTGCACATGTAACGATTAGGGTAACCCGTGATTGAAGGTACAGTATAATATAAACTTGGACGAGTCTATTTGAGACCGTCGAAAGGACTTATTATAGTCTATTTTGTTTTTTATTATAGATATAGATACAAAATATGCCCTTCTTAACAGAAGGGATTGCATGATAGAATCTGAACAAAAATGAAAAAACTGGTGCAAGTCTAGTGTAGGAGTTTGAGTTGCACTGCACTTGGAGTCTTGCACTTGGAGATCAAATCTTCAGATTCGTTAGCAGATTGGCGTTGGGCTCCCCTCCAATTTCTTAAGAATTGGAGGATCCACCCCGTTCATTTTGAATGGTTAAGATCTATACAAATAAGTAAATTTANTTCGTTAGCAGATTGGCGTTGGGCTCCCCTCCAATTTCTTAAGAATTGGAGGATCCACCCCGTTCATTTTGAATGGTTAAGATCTATACAAATAAGTAAATTTAGTTTATTTAAAAAAATTTCTAAATTTTGAAAATTTAAAATCTACTAAATCTGTTGCTGAATAATGAATATAAATCTTAACCATTTAAAAGTGAATTGGGAGAATCTTCCAATACTTGAGAAATTAGAGGGGAAGTCAAACCCGTAGTGTGTTTATAGTTGTGTTTGTGATTGTTAANTAGTTTATTTAAAAAAATTTCTAAATTTTGAAAATTTAAAATCTACTAAATCTGTTACTGAATAATGAATATAAATCTTAACCATTTAAAAGTGAATTGGGAGAATCTTCCAATACTTGAGAAATTAGAGGGGAAGTTAAACCCGTAGTGTGTTTATAGTTGTGTTTGTGATTGTTAAGAGAAAAACCGGGGAGGTAGGAGATATATGGAGAGCGATGGAGGGGGGGTAAGAGAAAAGAGATGGAGGTTGTTTGATTGGTATTAAAAACGAGGGATTTTGGACCTTGTTTTTTAACAAGGTCAAAGCGGGTCAAATTATCTATAATTTTTGAATTAGTGATAAAACCCATTAATCTAACNTATAGTTGTGTTTGTGATTGTTAAGAGAAAAACCGGGGAGGTAGGAGATATATGGAGAGCGATGGAGGGGGGGTAAGAGAAAAGAGATGGAGGTTGTTTGATTGGTATTAAAAACGAGGGATTTTGGACCTTGTTTTTCAACAAGGTCAAAGCGGGTCAAATTATCTATAATTTTTGAATTAGTGATGAAACCCATTAATCTAACGGTTGCGAATGATTTGGTACAAATTTTTGAATGTGGATAGTATTGCTCAAAAAGCTGAGCATTCTTGTCTACTGGGATGCCCAAACACATCATCGTAGTCTTTCTGAAATCTGGGGCAAAATAGCTCAATTGCAAAATTTCTAAAGCTGCAATGTCCAAAGCAAAATAATATGACCATGGCAGATTTACCAAGTTGGCAAATAGAGCTCGTTGGCCCCAAATTCGAGCAAATCTATGGCTGAAAGATATAAAAATATTCATAAGCAAAAGGAAAGATAATAAATATTCAAACAGGATTGCAAATGAAAGATGAGCCTCTAGACAACCTCAAATCTATACTTACATTCAAAGAAAAACCAAAGAACAGACAACACCCTTCTAATATGATACTTCAATCCGAGATGGCTGTAGCTCCTGTTGTCTTGATCCACATATTTCTTTGATCTTTGAGGTCACCTCTCCTATTGATGGGCGCTTGTCAAGATGCTTAGAGGTGCAGTAAATTGCAAGATGTAAGAGCTTAACCAGTTGGTCCTCAATGTAATGGTGCCCAAGCAGCTCAGGATCAAACACATCAATTGTCCACTTTTCTTCAGCCACTGATTGCACCCACCTAGGCAGGTCAACTCCCTCTTCGTTAAGAGCATCTGTCGGGGCCTTGCCTGTCAACAGTTCCAAAAGCAGGATGCCAAAACAATAGATATCAGCCTTTTGGGAAACCTTGCGAGAATCCAATACCTCTGGCGCTTGGTAGCCGATCAGGTTGGGAGATGAAGTGGAGGAAACAAGTTGTGCTATGCCAAACTCAGAGATACAGGCACGGTAGTTGTCAGCGAGGAAAATGTTAGATGCCTTGATGTTGCCATGGGAAGCATTGGGATCAAGAGAATGAAGATATTCAATGCCACAGGCGACCTCAAATGCAATCCTACTTCTAACTTCCCAACTCAATGGTGCCCTGTATGAGCTTCTGCTTCCTACAGAGCAGAAAAGAGAAATCAAATTCGGGCCTTTTTGTTTGGTTAAAAGATTAAAATCAACTTGCTCCAGATGGATATCATGCTGTTTAGGCAGTATTTTGGTTCCCAAACTTTTATTGTGAGAGAATGATTTATTCATCCTAATAGAAATCTAGAAATTTGACTACACTGACTCTCACATATAATTTTGTTCATTTTAAGTATCAATTCAACAACTCAGCGCAACAAAGCCTTTATCCCAAATATTTAGTGTTGACTAAATGAATCTGGGTTCTCCATTATGCTTTATTAAAGACTATTTTCATTAAACAGTAAACAATCATATCTTTCTTACTATTTCGTTCGAATATAATTTAGGCCTTGTCGCATGACCATCGATATGTATCAAATTATTCTTATTCATTTTTGCATTACTAGGTCTATTATAAACATATTCAAAGTATCTAAGTTAATTCTATCTTAATTTATCTCTTTTGGTGTTACTTCTACGTTTTGTACGAATATACTCATTCCAAATTCTTTCCTTATTTTACATGCATCCATCTTACCATCCTCATTTTTGCAGCACTAAGATTTTAAGCATCAAATGAAACTTTAGGAGGTTGCAGATACTCTCATGTTTCCAACTAAGAAGATATAACTAAACCTAGCAATAGAACTCAAGTTTAATCACAACTAATAGCATGACATAATTTTTCATTTTTAATCATATCCCAAAAAAAGGAAAAAGAATTTGAACACGGGCAAAAGGCAGTACATAATAAGAACATGGCCAAAACAATGTAGAAAATGGTATCCACATCCAAAGGGCTGGCAGCTGACATGTTTCTAAAGGCTATAAAGTGTTTGCCTATTAGTCTTGCTTGATGTTAGACATATCCTTTTAATCAATGATTAGCATTTTTAACACCTTTTGAAATAAATTTGACGATGTACACCCGCATAAAACCTTCATATCCTGATAAATACAAGAATTAAATGTTACCACTTCCGTTAAATAGCTACTTATCCATGTTAATTCTTCCCGGTTAAGTATTTCTTGAAAACAAAATAATAGCAGAGAGCATGGTATTTACTGTTGAAAAAGTAATCGGAAAAACACAGATGCTATTATAGCTGCAAAAGGCATGTCATGTTGTGTAAGATAAGGTTAGTTTATTCATTCAAACTGAAGTTCCCATATCACACATTTATTACCCTTATGTTGCCTTTTCAATTCTGAAACAAAATTGTTCCTTGACAATAGAAGTTAGTGTAGTGAACAAGATATAACAGTTTTGATAAGACTCTAATTTTTTTTTATTTATCCTTTTTATTACCGTGAAAGTTTTTAATTTGAATAGCAACGCTTTTGAATAGGTTGACTTATTTCTTGCTTTTCATGAGTTGTGTGTTTCAACTTTCAAGGCGATTCCACATAATATCATCTAAAAAGAAAATCAACAAATGACCTACTTTGAAATGGGGGAATAATGTTAGGAACTCTGCTTTAATCAGTTCAATGCAGTGTTTTAAAACCCGGCCTGGCCCGACGGGTTGACCCGGTGAACCGGTCCCCCAACCGGGCCGATTTTGTAATTGGATCGTTCGAGTAAAGAACTTGGAATAAAACCAGNTTTTAAAACCCGGCCTGGCCCGACGGGTTGACCCGGTGAACCGGTCCCCCAACCGGACCGATTTTGTAATTGGATCGTTCGAGTAAAGAACTCGGAATAAAACCGGTGAACCGGTCAAAAAACCGGTAACCCGTGAAAACCGGCCGGTTTTGTTCCTTTAGTATAAATATGTCTTTTTTTTACTTTTTTGTGTCTTTTCTATTTTTCTTTGCCATTTTTTGTGTCTTTTTCTTTTTCTTTTCCATTTTTGTCTTTTTCTTTTCCATTTCTNGGTAACCCGTGAAAACCGGCCGGTTTTGTTCCTTTAGTATAAATATGTCTTTTTTTCACATTTTTGTGTCTTTTTCTTTTCCATTTTTGTGTCTTTTTCTTTTTCTTTTCTATTTTTCTTTGCCATTTTTTGTGTCTTTTTCTTTTCCATTTTTGTCTTTTTCTTTTCCATTTCTATGTCTTTTATAAATATGTCTTTTGTCTTTTTTACATTTTTACATTTTTTTTACACTTATGAATATTTGCATTGGTTTGTTAATTGAATACAATTAAGTGATTCAGGCTTGATAACTTTGTTTGATTTAATATATATTAAACATGTTACTTTTATAACTATTTTAATTTTTTAGTCTATTTATCATCATTAATAATTATTTTTTATTTTTTTATTATATCACCGGTTCGACCAGTGACCCAGTGGTTGAACCAGAAACCCATTGACCCGGTCCCTTTTCCGGGTTGATGTCCGGGCTAGGTTTTAAAACTATGGTTCAACGTTATCACCACAAGAGTGGAACTTGACTTTATCAAGCTATCTTATAAGCATTAGCCACATAGCAAAATGAGAGACAAACTTCGAAGTATTAAAGCATATTGGTTTTAGTGTATACAGGCATAAATACTTTTATGTCTGTATGTGTTCACATCTATATGTAACAAGTAACTATTAATGAAATAGAACAAAAAGGTGAGTTTTCTTCACTTCAGCGCCAAACAGTTTGCTTTTACTAATTCTTACAGATAGCGCAATGGAGAAGTATGTAGAATGTCCAAAAAAAGAACAATGACAGAAAATTCATATGAACTATAAAAGGTTTGAAATATACAATGTCTGACTCTATTTCAAGGTTGTAAGTAAAGTTTCATTAGACTCTCAATACCAATATAACATTCACCAAACAATCAAAATTAAAAACTCATAGTATTCCAAAGATAAAACTACTTTATTTACCTTGGAGCCCTAAGAGCGCAGCGTTAAGCTCTTAGAAGTACTACTACAACATGAGCCAGCATTCCCCACCCTTCAACCTCCTCTCTAAACTCCATCTCAGAAACACACAAAATTTTCAATTCTATCTCAAACTTTCTACTTTTTTAACACCCAACATAAGCCAAGTCACCCATTAGTTAACGATTTATTCTCATAAATTGCACACTAATACTCACAGTTGAGACCTACCGAATAACAAGCTCCCTTCAAAAAATTAAACATCAGCCCCTAATCTATGACCAAAGTAACAAAGTAAAATTTAAAAATTAACACAATGAATAGGATCCAGAGAACAGAAAAGAGATCTGAGACCCGGCCTTTGGAAAGGCTGTGGTTGATTAGAGATTAACGAGTTTCCATACTAGAGAAAGAAAGATTTAGGTATATCATGGCTTGGGAGAGGTATCAAAAAAAGAAGAATTAGGTACATCATGGCTCAGGGGAGGTAAGAAAGAGTTAGGTACGTCATGGCATAGGCATATCCTCTATTCATGACACAAATATTAGAAAAAACTTTGCATGACACATTAACAAGGTGATATTATACTATTAGTCCATCTTCAAATAACTCTCTCTCTCTCTCTCTCTCTCTCTCTCTCTCTCTGACACTAACAAGCACACTGATGTGCACACTATAAATAAAGATAGTGCTTGTGGTTTTCAGTCATAATGATTTGCTTTACATCACTTTTACTTGATCGGTCGAAGCAGAAAGAGAGAAAAAATAAGGAAGCCATGATGAGCGGGAAGAGCAGCAAAATTATGATCACTGTCTTGGTCGTTACGTTCATGTTGTTGATGGTTTCTGCTGTGCCTAATAGGGCTGGACAGGTCACAAACTTTGAATCAAAATGCATGGGTTCTTGCCTGCAAAACTATTGCATTGGCCATGAAGGTTATGTCAAATGCAGTACACAATGCGCTCTGCATTGCGCAAATTAATGTGTCCATAGTCAAGACCTGTACCGAATGATAAAGCTAAAGGGCAGTGCGAAGCTGTAGTCATGTTATCTCAAAATAAAGCTGCCTTCCATTAGGCATTATGTTTTAGTTTAAGGCTGTCCGTCGCTTACTTTGTTCTCTCGTACATAGCATTGGCATTAGCATGTCTGTGCCTTGAGTCCTCCTCCTTAAGTCTGTAGTGTGTTCTTTGGCAATGTTGTGCTGTGGTTGTGCTCTCCAATTAGTTGTCTGGCTGGTGTGGTGAGTCAGTTTGTGTCTTTTCTAATATTTCATCTTACTTCTTATTAATAAAGTTCTTACATATTTGCAAGAGATGTAAGGCTACACTGAAAATACACGGATTCACTCAGCCGGGGGCCTCTTCCTCTTCCCGCAAGATTCTATATTTTATGAATTTTTTTCTTATTTTATCTGTGTTTATCACTTTGAACAATGATGTTACATATAATAATTGCACAAGCAAAATACGGTGTTGCAAATGTGCTACAAATGGGGGAAAATTGAAGGCTTACCATGCCAAAGTGAATGCAAGCTTTTCATGGCCATGGACACCAATCTTTTCTCATTTGTTTCACAACATTATGCTCTTAGAGGCATTGAATCCTCATGAGTCTTTAACCTTTTCTTTAAACCATCCCCTTAGCAACAAAAAACATTTTTCAACCTCTTCCCATCCACCTTGTCCAGATCCTCTCCATGACATAAACTACTTTGTTCCATCTCATTCTTCTGGCTACCTATGTAACTTGAGTTATTTTTTTTTGAACGGGAACTTGAGTTACTTCAAAATTCTTGTTTAGGGTTATTTATTCTCTTTCCTATTCTTCTTTTCTTGTGGAGATGGGTGATGTATTTCAAGCTCATTCTTTTAAAAGATCATACAAAAAATTATCATTGCCTGTTCTGTAAGCACAGATCTAAAAAAAAATCTGAAGATGTTTTATTTTTGATTGCCCAGCAAAGTTGGAAAAAAAAAACTCTTATAATCAGCCCATGATTGTGACCACAACAGGGGAATTCAGACTTAACATGACCATCCTAAACACTATCCCCATAAAAGACTTAAATCTTTTCATGGACCACAGTAATAGACATCTAAACTGCCCCATCCCATCCACCCCTCACCAAAAAAAAAAAAAAACAAAAGCCAGCAAGCAAAATGCAATCACTTATAAATGAATTGGCCAGATTAGGGGGGCTAACAATTTACAAGCTAAATCCCAATGCCGAGATTGTGCTGTGGATATAAGACCTTATAAGATGCTAATGCCACTCGGCACTGCCTACCAGAGCATAAAACATGAAAACAGGCATATCATGCAGATAATGCAATCAAAAGCACATAAAACGCTCGTAAAAAGAACACTGGAGGAAAGTTTTAGTCCCTTATAAACATATATGCACATATTGATCTGATATTAGTGTATAAATCTATAGTTCAGGACTCAAATTTCCAGAGAAAAGTGAAACACGTTGGGAGAAAACCACTAAATAACAACAAAAACACTTAAATTGTGCCCTTGATTCTGTGTGTCTTTCATAAAAACAATGAACACACGTAAAAGACAAATATGCTTTCAGTATTGCAAATTCATAACAGTGATAAAAGCAGGGGAGAATTATTGAAGGCTTACCATGTAGAAGAGCAGCCAAACTTCCCATAGGCATGGACTCATACACAATAAGCTTCTCATCTCTGCCATAGTAGTATGCTCTTAGAGGCACCAAATTCTCATGAACCAACGCTCCCAGTGCTTCAACATTCTCTCTAAATTCTCTCTCAGAAACAACAACATTTTTCAATCTTTTCACTACTACCTCAATCCCACCCTCCAAATATGCCTTGTAAGTAGTCCCAACTGTCCCCCTCCCCAATACCTCAGCTGAAGCCGTCAATAAATCCTCCAAAATAAGTACCTCAGCCCCATCCCCAAAACTCACCATCCCATCATTCCCTCTATTCTTAACCACATTCCCCACCCTCACTCTCATTGCCGCCATATTGGAAAACCCATTATCGAATTCATGATTTTCCCTTACTATATCCGTTCTACGTCTCCGATTATCATGCTCCGGTAGCTTCACAGGCGATGGTGGAAAAGGCGACGTCACGACCCGCCTTCCATCTTCTCCATTTCTGTATTTTCTCCACAAAATGAACAAANAAAAAAAAAAAAAACAAAAGCCAGCAAGCAAAATGCAATCACTTATAAATGAATTGGCCAGATTAGGGGGGCTAACAATTTACAAGCTAAATCCCAATGCCGAGATTGTGCTGTGGATATAAGACCTTATAAGATGCTAATGCCACTCGGCACTGCCTACCAGAGCATAAAACATGAAAACAGGCATATCATGCAGATAATGCAATCAAAAGCACATAAAACGCTCGTAAAAAGAACACTGGAGGAAAGTTTTAGTCCCTTATAAACATATATGCACATATTGATCTGATATTAGTGTATAAATCTATAGTTCAGGACTCAAATTTCCAGAGAAAAGTGAAACACGTTGGGAGAAAACCACTAAATAACAACAAAAACACTTAAATTGTGCCCTTGATTCTGTNTTCAGGACTCAAATTTCCAGAGAAAAGTGAAACACGTTGGGAGAAAACCACTAAATGACAACAAAAACACTTAAATTGTGCCCTTGATTCTGTGTGTCTTTCATAAAAACAATGAACACACGTAAAAGACAAATATGCTTTCAGTATTGCAAATTCATAACAGTGATAAAAGCAGGGGAGAATTATTGAAGGCTTACCATGTAGAAGAGCAGCCAAACTTCCCATAGGCATGGACTCATACACAATAAGCTTCTCATCTCTGCCATAGTAGTATGCTCTTAGAGGCACCAAATTCTCATGAACCAACGCTCCCAGTGCTTCAACATTCTCTCTAAATTCTCTCTCAGAAACAACAACATTTTTCAATCTTTTCACTACTACCTCAATCCCACCCTCCAAATATGCCTTGTAAGTAGTCCCAACTGTCCCCCTCCCCAATACCTCAGCTGAAGCCGTCAATAAATCCTCCAAACTAAGTACCTCAGCCCCATCCCCAAAACTCACCATCCCATCATTCCCTCTATTCTTAACCACATTTCCCACCCTCACTCTCATTGCCGCCATATTGGAAAACCCATTATCGAATTCATGATTTTCCCTTACTATATCCGTTCTACGTCTCCGATTATCATGCTCCGGTAGCTTCACAGGCGATGGTGGAAAAGGCGACGTCACGACCCGCCTTCCATCTTCTCCATTTCTGTATTTTCTCCACAAAATGAACAAAATCAAAATCACCAAAAGAAATCCAATCACCGATCCAATAACGATCCCGGCAATTGCTCCACCGGAAAGTTTATTTCCTCCATTGGAACAAGAATCTAGGGGTGATCCACATAGCGAATTTCCTAGAAAAGAATTGGTAGAAAATCTCCCTAACCTAGATGGAATAGAACCGTTCAATCTATTAAACGAAACGTTGAACTCTCTAAGCGATGAGAGATTCTCAAGCTGAGGAAGTGATCCAGTGAGTTGGTTGTTTTCCAAGTAAAGAGTTCTCAAACGGGTCAGGTTATTAAATTCAGGAGATATCTCACCCACAAAGTTGTTCCCGGCAAGGTCTAACCGTAACAGATTATTCAACCCAAACAAACTCGCCGGAATTCCGCCGGAGAAGTCGTTCTCGTGCAAGATAAGGTTTCTTAACTCGACGCATGAGCCCAAGTCCGAAGGTAGTGCTCCTGAGAGAGAATTACGTCGGAGGCTAAGAACACGGAGTTGGGTCAGGTTCCCGATAGAGTTCACCGGGACCTGGCCTCTAAGCCCGTCGCCGGGCAGGCGGAGTTCGGTTACACGGTTTATGGCGGCGTCGCAAGTAACTCCTACCCATGAACATGTAGTGTTGTTGAGGTCCCAGAAACGAGTGATGCCACCCACGGCAGAACTCAGGCGGAGAAGGGCGGCTCTGTCAGCAACGAGGTCGGAATCTATGGCGGAAAGGAAAGAAACGAAAAGGGTAAAAAGTAGAGGAAGAATAGGAGAGTATGAGATCATTTGTGGCAATGTTTTTGGGGGAGGGAGAAAGATTTTGGTTTGGTTGTGAGATTTCAGAAGAGGATTTGGTTGTTTTCTGGAGTCATGGTCTTTGTTTCTTCTTCGTCTTCTTCGGCGTGGACTCAACGGTGCCTAAAAGTGGGAGCCATCAAGATTATTCCAGCGCCATTTTTGAATTTATGTGGAGATTCTATTGTCAGACTGTTTCAACGCTGCTTCGAAAAGTATCAAGTTTTGAATTTTCATAGATTTAGCTTTCCCAGTTTCAAACTGTTCCTACTGGTTTATGATTNGGGGGGGGGGGGGGTAAAAACATGAATGACATATTAACCAATTAGTATAATTATTTTTTTTCCACAGCTCTATTAATTAAGGCTAAATGAGCTATTATTTTGATATAATTTTATTTTTTTTAATTTCAAACATGAGAAAGGTATAGGATACAAAATTTAATTATAATATGACTCATTGAAAATAAAAATGACTAAGACTATTTTACAAAATTATTAAAACTTAAAAGGGACAATGCAATAAATTCAAGATAGTTACATATTCTTTAACACTTCATAATTTCATATGGAGGGTATACGAAGATATTCCTAAAAGTTAGTGGGGGCAAGGGTCCCTTGCCCCTCCTTCTAAGGGGGTTCTGCCATTGGAGGGAGGGAAATGGGATGGGAGCTTCCAAGAAAAGGGTAGATGGGGGGTTTCATCGAAAGTTGTGGTCCGAAAAGGGTGGTTTTGATTGATTATGATTAACTTTTTTTGACTAATTTTAACTAATTATTTTTTTTTAATTTTAATCAAGATTTTGAAGGACAAATGAATTTAACTTGAAAATGGGATCTTGGTGTTATTTTGGCAAAACTCAAGCTATTGAAGTGCAATTTATCTCCCCCCCCCCCCCAACCACCCCAAAAAAAAAAGAAAAAAAAAAGAAAAAGAAACCAAGAGTGTTTCCACTTGGGATACACCAAGTCTTCAACCAGGATCCACATTATAGTAGGTCAACTAGTCAATGATCGACATTTTTTCCTTTGCCTTTTGTACAAGAGAATACATGTATCTAATAATAAGATAAGAATGAGGTTAGAATTTTTATCTCTTTTATATATACTAATTATTATCCGTATCTAAAGGTACTATATTACTTATAAAATTTTAACACACAAAAATAAAATACTTGAATAATTATAAGTTTATAACACGTAGCGATTAGATTGGTTTTAAATATTTATTGTTGGTGCAATTGATATTTTATTTTTTTGTATTGNTAAGTTTATAACACGTAGCGATTAGATTGGTTTTAAATATTTATTGTTGGTGCAATTGATATCTTATTTTTTTGTATTGGTCATTTATTTTTTTTTAATTACTGATTAACTTAGGCTTTAATTTTTTTTTTTTAATTTTTTAAGAATTATAGGTTTTCATACAATAATAATTTATTTTTTGTATGAATAATAACTTGATGATTTTACTTATGGATTATAAAGACAATTTAAGTTTCATTGATTGATAAGAAGTAAGAAGTAAACATCAACTATCAGTACTAAGATGTGTGATAAGAAAATCTACTTATAGTGTATTTTAAGTATGAATCCGTTTGTAATAAGAATGATGGAAAATTATATAGTAAGTATATAATAGTTTTTAATGAAATACTATACCAAACGTTTTGAAAAAATTGATATACAAAATTACTTACATGTCCAAAAATGGTGACATTGTCTATTTGGGTACTGTTTTTTGTGTTGCAGTGATGGTGTGTATGCGGTTATTGGAGTCAAATGTTAAACTGTCAAACTTTGAAAAAAAAAACACTACACTTAGAGATATTATGTATTTTATGTGTGTTTAATAGAAATAAGGTACAAACAATACACGTTTAACATATAACATTTAAATCATTTAATTTAAAATGAATTTCATCTGAATTGTTATTATGTTTTTTCAAATTTAAGATAGAGATGTATGAGAGATAGGAGTGTAGAGATTTATGATAAGAGGCTTTTTCATGGGTGGAAAAAGAAATTCAAGACTAACCGTAGACCGTTGGATCAAAATTTTTGAGATAATTTGAACCGTCTTTTATGTTGGGATTACGTTGTCTGTTACATGTGTTTATGTTTTGTCTTAAAACGATCTGGATCTCTCTTTATCTTTTGGATTTAAACTTCGTTCTACTTTATTATATAAATATACTAGTCATAACTCATGCCTGAAGGTATGATGAAATATAAAATTCAAGCGTTCAAAAAATTTATCCCACTATATTAAATAATAATTTTTATTTTCTTCATTTCTTTAATTACATCATTTAAAATCTATGTTTATCCATTATTTACTTAAAAATATCGACAATTTTTTTTCAAAATATGTAATCTGATAAAATTTTCTCAACATATGTATACTATCGTATATGGATAATATTTGAAATAAAAAACATATTAAACTATAAATTAATCAAATATTAAAATAATTGGGCATGTGATAGAAATGAGTGATGTGATATTTTTTGGGGAAAAAATATGTAGGAGATAAGATTCAACTTGTTAGCTATCTTATTATATAGATATAGATATAGAAGAGATGAAATAATGTGTTTAAAATGTCTAATAGATAAGAGAAAGAGACAGAGAGAGTTATATGAGAGATATGAGTATTGGAGTTAAGTCTAATTATGATCGTCTGATCAGTATTTATGAGATGATCTGAACCGTCTTTTATGTTGGAATTACGTTGGTATGTTGGATGTGTCTATGTTTTGTCTCAAAACAATCTGAACATCTCTTTGTCTTTTGGATTCAAATTTCGTTCTAATTTATTATATAAACTAGTCATTGTCCGTCCCTGAAGACACTATATTACTTATAATATTTCAACACACAAAGATAGAATATTTGAATAATTTCAACACATAGTGATTAGATTGGTTTTGAACATTTTTTGATTGTGCTATCGGTATCTTATTTTTTTTGTATTTGTCACTTTTTTTTTTTAATTGGTGATTAACTTGGACTTTGAATTTTTTTTTAATTTTCTAAGAACTATAGGTTTTCATACAAGAGTGATTTATTTTTGGTATGAATAATAACTTGATGATTTTATTTATGAATTAAAAAGACAATTTAAACTTCATTGATTGATAAAAAGTAAGAAGTAAACATCAATCATCGGTGTTAAGATGCATGATCAGAAGANACTTGATGATTTTATTTATGAATTAAAAAGACAATTTAAACTTCATTGATTGATAAGAAGTAAGAAGTAAACATCAATCATCGGTGTTAAGATGCATGATCAGAAAATCTACTTATAGTATACTATAGGTATGAATCAGTTTTTAATAAGAAGGATGAAAAATTATATAGTACGTATATAATTGTTTTTAATGAAATATTATATCAAAGGTTTTGAAAAAATCGATATACTAAATAATTTTCATGTCCAAAAATGGTGACATTATCCATTTGGATACTGATTTTTGTGTTGTAGTGACGATGTGTATGTGGTTATTGAAGTCAAATGTTAAACTGTCAAATTTTGAAAAAGAAGCACTAAACTTAGAGATATTATGTATTTTATGTGTGTTTAAATAAAATATTTTTAATTTTATGTAAAATTTTATCATAAAATTAAAAATTAAATAAAACCAACCTAAATCAAGGTACAAGCAATATACTTTTAACATATAACATTTAGATCATTTAATTTAAAATCAATTCAATTTGAATTGTTATTGTGTTTTTTCAAATTTAAGGTAGAGATAGGAGTGTAGAGTCTTACGATATGAGGCTTCTTCATGGGTGGGAAAAGAAATTCAGGATTAACTGTAGACCATTATATTAAAATTTTGAGATGATCAGAATAATATTTTATGTTAAGATTACATTGTCCATTGGATGTGTTTATGCTTTAGCTTAAAATAATCTGGACCTTTATTTGTTTTTTGGATTAAAACTTCGTTCTACTTTATTATATAGATACATATATTTAAAAATATCACATCATTAAATTCTATTATATGTTTAATTATTTAATATTTAATTAATTTATAATTTAGCACAATTTTATTTCATACATTGTCTATACACAAAATAGTATACATGTGTTGAATTTTTTTTTATCGAATTATGTATTTTGATAAAATTTTGACATTATTTTTAAAAAATAATAAATAAAAATTAATTTTAAATGATATAATTAAAGAAACGAAGAAATAAAAAATTGTTATTAGATATAATAGAATCAATTTTTTAAATGCTCGAATCTTATTTTTCCATGTACCTTCAAGCATAAGTTTTAGCTAGTTATCTTATAAGTAAGATATTTTTTTTCACCCCCAACAACCTTAAAATAGGGAAAAAAAACTCACAAAATTCCCATAACTTCAAAAACATTTTTATTAAACAAGTCACAGGCACATCTAACTTTATTTGGTGAATTCGCTGGAGGAAAAATATTATGATACGTTTGAGCAATATTACACAAATTTAAAAAATCTAATTGATGATATAGTTGTTATATTTGTCATTGATTTAACTGTGAATCTCAATTTTCAATGGATTTCACTATTTATTTGATGGTAATGATTCATCAAATTAAAATTATAAATTAATTTTTTAAATCTATTTAACATTTCCCTTCACATTTCCACCAGTCTCACTGTTATATCATCTAGACTTTGACAAAGGTGAATGCATGTTCTGTACCTTCCTCGTCCCTAGAAAATATTCATTACAACAGTAATACCACATGGTAAATTAACGTGGTATCATCAATTAATAATACTAAAATAAATAAACAAATCGATCCTATAAAAATTAATAACTATCATGTTATCTAAATAAATAACTACTTACTCTTTTGTCATATAAGTCCTAAGTATGGAATAAATATTGAATGTAACGGTGATACCATGTTACCATTGATGATATGATATCATCAACCAATAATAAAATCCCAAATAAAAAAGGTGAATCTCACTTGAGCTTACA